CCCTACACGACGCTCTTCCGATCTCCCCAAAACCCCAAAACCCCGCTAGTGAATATAATCAAGAAAATAAAATATTAATTAAAATATAATGAAAAGACAGCATTAAAAGGATTGTATCTGTTGCTCAGCGAAGAAGCCTACAGAGATTTTCATTGATGAGACTAGAGATCAAGTCATATTGTCAAAGATTATTCCTGATAAGATACATACCATCAAGTAAAATGCATTTACTTCAACAATGAAGGGAGATTACCTAAAGAGCACTGAGTTATAAAAGTATCTGCATTAAGAGTAAAAGCATAGAAAGGAACCATTTAATTTGGAGAAAGAGCATAAAAACAGATAGATATTACTGGCAAAGAATAAATATGAGATACTTGATAATTCGACATATCAAGACAACTACTTCTATAGAACGATTGATGCTACTTAGCATAAGTTTAAGTCTGCTAGCATTACAAACACACCTCGAAACATTTAAAAATATGCTTTAACTACTAGTCCAAAGACAGTTTCTTCATCTTAGATACTTTAAAGTCTTAATCTAAATCCAGAGGAGATAACAAAAGTCAAAACCCACATGCACAGAGATAGCTCTCATTAGGAAAGATTCGGGTAACTGAAAGAGGAAGCTTTTGCAGATAGGCTGTTGTTAAAGAATCCTTAGTATCCTAAATACTAACTTCCATTTAGAGGTACTTCCCAATATTAGCAAAAGTATAATGAGGAGCAATTAAGAGCCTCTTCAAGGTCAAGATAGATTGGAGAACTAAAAAGACTTGAAGATCTGATTCTTGGCAAGGCTTAGAATCCTACTTTTCACTCAGATCATTTTCATACTATAAACTAAAAGGGATGGATGACTGAGAGAATTAATAAAAACTTGCCAACTATTTAACCTAAAGTTGAGAAGTTTGATGAGAGGAAGAAATATGTCCAAATATAAATAGAATAAAGTCAACCATTCATTTAGTAACTACCAGGAAGAATGCCTTCAAAGCTTATCAACTCAACTTAGAGATTAGACTTTAACTAGAAAAATAATTATGACTGCAAGAAGAAATCTGATTTGCATTTAATGCTGGGAACAATTTGATTATAAACACTTATTTATTTATTAAATTATAACACTTACTCGCAAAATACAATTTAATTTATTGCGGGGTTTTGGGGTTTTGGGGTTTTGGGGTTTTGGGG